CATCATAGCCAGTTTGCTCCAGGTCTGCACCAGCTTGGTACCAGGCATTCAGCCCATCCACATCACCCTTAGCTGCAAGGCTGGAACAAGAACAATGACATTGGTTCTAAATCTTTAGGTCCATTGTCCTACTGTGTCCTGCCAATGAGCTCGGCAGCTGAGGCAAACACTGAGCCAGAACAGGCTCAACATGGCTGCCCGGATAGGGAGGTAAGTAAAGGAACACTATTACAACAGCTTGGAATAGCTGAGCAAGCAACACAGCTGGATGAATCAGTTCCTTAAATTAATAGGGCTGTGCTACAAGTACTTACAACCAGGCTAGTTTCACACAGTGGGTGTGACCATGACCAAAGGGGAAAAAAAGTCATGCAGTTTCATATTTCACAACACAATATTTATCTCATGAAATGAGTTGGGGAGGGGGGGGAGGACAGTAGCTAAGTCAAGATGTAACTGAATAAGCGAGAGCGCAAGCAGACGTGCTAGCAGTCGGTGTGCTTATTTTAAAAACACTTAAAAAAAAAACCCTTAACAAGCTTGCATAACGATGTTCACTATCAGAAGCTATGGTAGCACATTTATGTGTTATCATTTAGATAGTAACACAGCTACTTTTTTTTGAGTTTTATAGCGCAATTTGTAAGACTTACATGCACAGCAAGACCAAAAAAAAAGTTGATTAAAGATTGCCTCTATCTGCCATATATAACAAACAGTAGAAAGGATCAAAATTAATCATATACAAATAAACAAATTAAAGTTTATAGAGAAATGAACACCAGAACGTTTCTTTGCACGTCTGCTGGTAGTCTCATCCATGGTATTTAAGGTTCATTTTTCTTTTGTCTTTTCTTCTTCTTTTTTTTTTTTTTTTTGTGTGTGGTTAAGTACAGGCTAACAGCCTGTCCGCAGACTACAGCATGACTGCCTCTACCAAGTCCGTAGCAAGGCAGCAAGGGCTGCTCTCAGATTTCTCAAGACACTAGCATCCGTCAGGTTGCAGAACTAGCGGTCACCGCTCGCTCCGTACTTGTTGACTGTGCAGCAAAACTAAACTTCCCCGATAATAATCGAGTGAGGCTGGCGCTCGTTACGAGCGGGAAACCCCTCCAGACTTACTCAGCCAGTACACAGTTTGCTGCCTTAAACAGTGCTCCCTGCGAAGGAGCGGCGTACTGCTGACAGCAGGGATTGAGGATGGTGCAAGGCTCCGGCGCACGAGAAACAAGCTAGGCAGACCTGACGGAAAGTGGGGAAGGCAGGAGGCGGTACGGGGCAGGCCGGCAGGGAAGCTGACGGAAGGAGCCCTGACAGCGAGTCTGCAACCTTCGGTTCTCTGCTAGACTGAAATCACTTCTGTTGTTGATTAAATCTCTTGAGGACCTGAAAAAATGTTTTCAGGGGAGCGGAGGCCTCTAATTGCAGCAGCCCGAGGAGAAAGTCAGAGAGGCTTTTGCTTGTAGCAGCCCCAGACGTTGGGCAGGAAAAGGGAGAGAAAACTGTCTCTGTATTCCTCCATGCAACCCCACCAACCATAAAGCAGGGCAGAAGACCAAGAGCTGGGGCCTTTGGGGGACCGGGACACGACAGTAGGAGGCTAGCGAGGTTTAACAGTGCATCAGTCTGACATCACGAAAAGAAGGATCAAGAAGTCATTAATGAAAACCGCCATCACAGTGAAGGCCCCTGGAAAGTGGTAAAGAAACAGAGGAAGGGAAAGGAGGTTTAACAGGGAGCTCAGTGGGAAGTCCTTAAGGAAACGGCAGGAAAAAGAGTAAGCAGAGAAGAAACTGCTTAGCAGCCACTTCCGGAATACAAGAATTGTTGTTATTTACAGACCTAACTCTCCCGCGGTCGACACCAGCATGTCCTGGAATTAAGGAAGAAGCAAACACACAAAAAGCCTAGCAAGCGAGAGCTAAAAGCTTTTCAAACGCTGGACAGGAAACGAACGCTGTATTTGCCAAACAGAATCTCCTCATTCAGCCACCTCCGAAGTGGAAACCACTTTGGGCAAAGACCAGCACAGGTATAAGTTATTACCAACCTACATACCTGGGGCAGTGCAGCTAGCATCAGTGTAAGCACCAAACAAGGACTACGGCATTTATTTGAAAATTAACTGCCTAATAGCACCTGTTCGGCAAGGGCAGTTTATCTTGCATTGCCAGTGGTCAAAACTGCGAAGTGGTCTCCTTCCGTGATATTAGGGCAATCCAAATATATGGAAATAGCTTCAATTTTGCAGCAATCATTTATAGATCAAGTTAAAAATGCATTCTACGAGGACGGGATCCAGTGAACAAAAAAATACGTAGCATGCGAGATAATTTAGATTTAACTCTAAATAAAGGATGCCTACCCTTCCCTAAGTTAGTTACAATCAAGAACACCACAAAACGTTTTCTGCAATTCCACGTCTCCTTAGCTAAGCCAGATCCCTTTTTATGTCCTTCACACACTATCAGTGTACTTCATATGCCCAAATAACGCATAGAACTTTTCAACACACACTATAGGGAGTTTTGCTCTGTATCTTTCTTGAAGATATTTATGCAAGTCTAACTGCAGCAATTCTAACTTCAGTGCAATCCAGCAATTCCTACTGCAAGTGCAGCCTGTAAGCAGCAGCAAGTTCATAATTTTCTTACCAAGAAATGGAATAAAAATAACTTAAATATACATTTATCAGAATATTTTAAAACTGCTTTGTTGACAGACAACTACTTGCAACATTTTGCTAAACTCTGATTGACACCTCATACGGTGGATAATCTCATGTATGCTGCCTATCAATGACTCTTCCGTTTAGAAAAAACGACTATGTACCCGTTACACAGTTCCAGCACGGCTGGTATAGCCATGGTGATGACAAAAGGTATCTCTCAGATATCACCAGTACCACAGGAGCACATTGATTTTTAATTCATCCCCAACATTATGAGTTTAAACACAAGGAAGTTGAGGAGACAGTATTAGAACAAAAAAAATCACTGTCTATGTTCATGCATGAAAGCCAGTTTATTTGCTGTTAGGTAAGCATTCACTGAGTCCTGACACTTTAGTGCTTTCTTGAAGCTTGACCATTGTTTCAGGCTGGCTGCATCCCTGCGATTTCAGTGATTTCTGTTACTGGGCATGCCTCTGGCTGTGGCATGGACAGTCAAGGTCCAGCTATTACTCCAACTTCTGGCTCCTGGGAAGAGCCACGGGCCTGCTTCCTGGTCTGCATGTGGCACGGGACATTCCCTTCCCCTCCCACCCCAAATACTTAATTCCATGCTGAGTCCTCATTCAGCCTGTGAGCACACGTGCACTCCACCCTCCGTGTGGAAGACTTGCATTGTTTTTATATTAAACTTATTACCATTAATACAAGTTTAAAATATCTCAAAACCTCAAATGTTTGTTGTCAAAATATCAGCTTTGAAGAACAGAGATCATGCAATAGATATCCAGTGTGTACAGTGTTGCCTAAAATGCTGTAACAAACTGCATCAGAACAATTTTTCGTTTAAATCCCCTTGTTCGCTTTTTGGACGTACTACTACTATCAGGTCAGCTAGCCAAACAGGTTCTGCACATGGCAGGAGGGCTAAGTAAGGGGCCAATCTATTTGCAGAGGAATGTGATTCTCTAAGCCACTCCTCTAATCTTCTTGACAGATGGAAACAATGCAAACTAAGAATTTAGTTCTGTCCTATCACTTGCCATGCTCTGGGAAGCGCATATTTTAACCTCACAATAAAAGTTATTATCCAGTCCACGCCAGGATTCCTGGAAGGACAGTGTCCAGTCCCTACACTGAATGGACATAAAAATAACTGTTCCCCTTAGGAGCTACATAAAACCTTTTCACAATTTTCAGAGTAACCTGTTATTCAGGACCAGTACTGGATAAAATAAATTTTTTCCAGTACTGGAAAAAATAAAATCAGGTCTCTATTTTTGTCCCCTACATACATTTCTATCATTAAAACACCTTATCTAAGAACAACTATAAGGAAAATCAGCTTCAGAAGAGGATTATATTCTCTTAAGATTAAACATACAAACGGTGAGCATTTGTTCAAAAATTTCAGGATTAAACCTATTTCTGTATTTGATTTAGTTATTTTTGAGAAAAATGGATCTTAATCAAAATTATACACATGTGCAGTTTTATTCTCACATAGAGGCGCTATTAAAATACACTTTGCTTAAAGGCCTCCTTCCCGCCAGTGAAAGCGCTTGGAAAAAAGGGGCATATTTGCTTCCAGCTCACTCATACCCACAATACTCTCTGCTTTTGCACTCTCCTGAGTCACTACTGCTCTGGCACAGAGTTGATTCTTAATTTCATCATTTCACTTGCTTCCTTGTTATTAATCTAGCCCAGAAGTAGTCACACATCATACACCAGGGACCCAACTATTCTTGAAAGTTATTTACGTGGTGTCCCCTTCAGAGTCTCTTTTCCCCTCCACCCCAATCTGGTAGCCAATAACCTCTTGTTACATTTACCTGCAGAGTACTGTTCCAGTGTCCTCCAAGTCACAGCTTGAAAGGTGAGCTCCAGTTTCTCGAAGTAAATTAATCACTTTTATGTGCCTTTATGAGATGGAGAGAAAAAATAGTTTAAAAGTGTTTTGACCTATGTGTTTTTTTCCCTAAATCCAGCATTATTCAAATATACAAACAGTTAGTGAAAGTTCTCATACAGATATTCTCCACCATCACTATGAACAGTACAAGGAGTGTTTTCACAGTACAAGGTGACAGGTGTAGTAAGATGATTTGCCCTCCCTATCCAAAAAAAAAAAAAAACATTCACATGGTCAGCTCATGAAAGTGTTTCATTCAGCTCCAAAACTAAAAGGGATGTGTCCCTTTCTTTTCAAAGAGTTCTTATTTTCCTTTCTGTAGTCCTAGATTAATTTAACACTAGAAATACTGTGACAGAAGCACGGACAAATAGCCTCATTCCTGTATTTTGCAGAATATAAGACTCACAAATATTAGTCTCTTAATTATCTGTCTTATCAGGTAAGCAACAAACCTCTATGTTAAAGCAGAAGCTGATCACCTTTTCAAGGCTTCAAAATTGTGCTAAGTACTCTTATGAGCCTCCGACAGAAGCATATCTTTTTCTAAACCCCCTCCTACTAATACCTTTATTATTTACCCTCTGTTGCTCTTCCAGGTGGGCACTAATGACACCAAGGGCAAACTGGATACCATCAAACAGGATTTCAGAGCTCTGGGGATGGTGGTCAAGGGTCTGGGCGCCCTGGTCATCTTCTCCTCAATCTTGCCTGCGAGGGGGAAGGATGGGGGGAGGTGTAGACGAGTTTTCCAAGTGAACAACTGGCTGCGCCGCTGGTGTTGGTAGCAGGGTTTTGGTTTCTATGACCATGGGACCCTGTTTGAAGATCGACAGCTGATGGGGAGAGATGGGATCCACCTCACTAAGCGGGGCATGCATGTCTGCCAACAGGTTGGCCCTGGTAAGAAGGGCTTTAAACTAGGAAAGATGGGGGAAGGGGAGTGTTATACGAGACAGCATAGTCAGTAAAACACTGCTCAAGTCAGGATGCCTCCAGCAGGTGCATGCAGCCAGTGGGGTACCTACGGAACATGGCTATGGAGGATCCTCTTGCACCTCTCCTGAGAAACTTGCATGTTCGATTGCCTCTCTGAAATGTCTGTACACCAATGCACGCAGCATGGGGAGTAAGCAGGAAGAGTTAGAGATCTGTGTGCGGTCGCAGGGCCATGATCTCATTGCACTGACAGAGACATGGTGGGATAGTTCACATGACTGGGATGCTGTCATGGATGGCTATGTGCTTTTTAGGAAAGACAGGCCAGGCAGGCGAGGTGGCGGAGTTGCTCTTTATGTGAGGGAGCAGCTAGAATGTATGGAGCTCTGCCTCGGGGTGGATGAAGAGCAAGTTGAGAGCCTATGGGTAAGGATTAAAGGGCAGGCTAACATGGGTGACACAGTTGTGGGGGTTTACTACAGGCCGCCTGATCAGGAAGAGGAAGTCGATGAGACCTTCTACAGACAGCTGGAAGTAGCCTCACGATCACAGGCCCTGGTTCTCATGGGGGACTTCAACCACCCTGACATGTGCTGGAAAAAGAGCACACCTAGGCACAAACAGTCGAGGAGGTTCCTGCAGAGCATTGAGAATAACTTATTAACACAGGTGGTGGAGAAGCCAACGAGGAGAGGTGCAATGCTAGACCTTGTACTAACAAAGAAGGTCTGGCTGGTC